CCAAAAGGTGCCAGGCTACTGAACCAAAGTCATGCACCAGTTGGTGAAGACTCAATATTGCTGGAACAGCTAAACCTGGTACAAGCAAAACAGTAGTGTTAAACTTCTGACCATCACAACGGAGGCTTAATTCTCTTGCCTCATGTACTAATTGAGTAGTACCATTGGCAAAAGAGAGCTTAATCGGAGAAGGCAGAGGGATAACTCTAGCAGATCCCAACCAACCAGCTTCTGAATCAGAAATAAGATGGACCGCAGAACCACTATCTAGCAACCAGTCGAGAGTATGGCAGTCAGCAGGATCATCAGGATTAGGGACTACTTCCGTATGAATTGTCGTTAACGGGCAATTCCCTCCATTTTGTGTATTAATACGTCGTAAATCAATAACAATACTAGGTTCAGCCGATGAGTTCACAACACCAACGTTAACCTCTTCAACAGTGGTCTGAACGACATAAGCTGTTTCTGAGGACTCCTTGGGTGAGCTTTCGCAAGGGTCTTCTACAATGTCATTCTGCTCGACAGCCGCAACCTGAACATCACGCTGCTGTTGAACCACCTCATTCCCTGCTTGAGCATCTTGATCATCTTCAACACGTCGACGTTTGACACCTTGACCACCATTATCGGGTCTAACTCTAATAGAACGACCAAGTAATCGTTTACCATTTAGCGATAAAGCTTTCTTCGCACTACTAGGATCACGAAACTCGATTAGACCCAAACCTCTATTACGACCAGTGTCTCGATCACGAAACAACCTCACCGATACAGGTATTACACCAGACAACTTCAAAACAGCTCTCAACGCATCCAGAACTTGCTTCTCATTCACGTCATAACTCAGATTGCTGACGAATAGTTTGCAGTTAGTCTGGACACCAGTAGTAGTAGTTGTCGCATCAACACCCTCCTCAATCGGCATAACTGGTAAAGCTTCACTAACATCATTAACAACATTAACTGCAGCCTTCCGAAGGGGGCCTCGAACACCATTAACCTTTTCCTCCTTTCTTCTCACATAAACCAAGTTCATTCTTCTACCAAAGTTGAGCAATTCTTCATAGGAGGGACAAGGACCACATAACCAAATAACACGCTCCTTCAAATCAGATGGCAGCGCTGAGAAAAGTCTAGACGACAAATCGGACTCACGCAATGCCTCGCCTCTCTGTCTCGAATAAGCTTCTGCAACTTGCTGGAATCTCAAATAAAACGTCTCGAAGTCGGTCTCACCAGGCGACCATTTCAATGATTGCCATTGCTCAACCAAGATACCTTGAGCATGAATAGAATCAAATCTCGAACATAGATTCTTCTCCATCATCTGAGCCCTAGCCATCAAACGATCATATCCTACTTTACCATCATCTTGAAGCTTACGATCAACAATGTCAACCACAACATCACGAACAGATTCATCAAGGCACCTTTCCGAATAAAACGAACGAAAGAATGAGGGCACAGAGCCAACATTCCAAGAAGGACAACGATGGACTTGTTGTAAGAAAGCTTCAATAGTACGAGTATCGGCATAGCCCTTATACTTGCCACCAACCGGTAGAACCGCATTATTAGCACGCTTCTGGGCAGAATCGTGGAACCGCTCTAACTCCAACGCAGAGAACCCTAACGATTGTACTTGAGATGGTACTCCACCAGGAACAACAGGAGTATCTCCATCAAGTACTGTAGTTATAGGCACTGATGGAGGAGCTGGCGAAACTTCACTGGCACGGAGACCACTTCTATGAGAGGCATTTAGCGATGGAGGCACAACACCTGGATCACTTTGTGAACCAGAATTACGAGACCGACGAGGTGAAATAAGTGATCGCAGGAACGAATAGCACGAGACGTTGCTGTGAGCGATATCGGACCGAGCAGCATGAGGAGGATCAGACAACCTTAGATGAGCAAACCGTCGAGCAGTTCCATAATTTCAGCATCATCAAGACGTTCAGTACCAGCATCCGAAAACAATCTCGACGACATAA